AGTTGCAGTTGTTTCTTCCATTTGGGATTGTACCATTAAAAATACTCTACTGAAGGGGAGTAGCAGTTACGTTTCTAGCACAGATACACCTCAGCTGGCAAGAATTATGGAAAGCAAGAGCTGTAAAACCACAAGCTATCCCCACTTTTTACGTTATGTAGTGTTTATTTAATTCCAGCTCACTTAAGCATAGTTATCTTCCATTCCACCCAGCTCATGTCTCTGGTTTTCCTCTAGGAGATATTTTGTCTTCTGCAACAGAGAAGTACTCCGAGGCGCTGCTGTTGTCACTAGAGGAGGAGGCCTGGCTCAGCTCCTCGGTGTCCGAGTCGGTGTCACTCGCTACTCCGCCGGCCTCGGCCGCAGAGCCCCCCGCAAGGCCCGTGCTGCGCGGCTCGGGAACGGAGCAGCCCTCCTCCTGGAGCAGCCCAGCCTCAGCGGCCTCCTCCGTGCCGGCACAGCAACAGCTGCTCTCACCAATACCTCTGTCTTCTTCATCTTTTACCTTTATTTCTTCTTTTGGCAATACAGTAAGTTGAGCGAAAGAGGCCGCCTCTTCTTTAACAGGAACGGCAGCTGAACACAAGGGCTGACTAGAAGGATTACGGTCAGCATTGGCTTTTTCGTTTTCAACCTTCTCAGGCAAGGAGGTGGGAAGAAAGGAATCTGCACATTTGGGGTGACTCTCTGTACACTCCGGGGGCACTGACTTTCCTGCACTTAAGAGTGTTTTGTCAGGAGATTCCGTTTTCTTTTTTTCATTTTTTTTAGTGCCAATCCTAGAGAAAAGCACCGAGGAGGAAGTCACTGAATCAGAGGTATTCTTGACAACGCTTCCGAACGAAAACACTGGCGAGGGCAGCTGAAAGCAGTTTTTGGCAAAGGAAAACACGTAACTGCCGTGGTGAAGGGAGGTCTCAGGAACATCGGTCCTCCCTGCTCCAGCGCTGGCTTCTGCAGTACTACCAGCTACAGCAGCGACGGCTTCCGAGGTGTCAGCAGCTTGTTCCAGTGAGGCAGATGGATTGGGCACAGAGTTTTCTACAACTTGGCTTGCAGAAACAGTATTTTCTCCTGGGTGAGGTGTTGCACTGTGGTCACACGGCTTCTCCGCTTGGTTAAAAAAGGAGGGTAGCGATAAAACCTTAAAGGAATTGCTGGCTCCGGGTACCGTGAAACAATCTCTTCCCAAATTGCCAAAGGCAAATGAAAAAACAGGTTTCTCACTTTCTGATGATCCTAGGTTAGAACTGGTTGAAGCATCAGAAGCAGTAGTTCTCATTACCCAACTAAGTTTTGAAAACCTGGCTTCATCCTGGTCATCTGTTTTATCCTCAGCATCACATTTTCCTAGATAAAATGTAGGAAAAACAGATTTACTGTCTTTCTTTGTAAAAGAAACTGTAGCTGTGTCTTTAATAACTCTGGGTAAGGAGTTGTTACATGCACCAAAAGCAAAAGGCGAGACAGAACCTCTCTCTGCAGAAGTATCTGAAGTAAATGCTAAACCTGAAGGAGTAGCAGGTACCGATGCTGGTTGTTTTAAAGCAGATGAAGTGCTGGAATTTGCATCCATTCCATAGGAAACTGTAACAGCTGATGACTGCACTGGCATTTTTTGTTTAATTTCTAAGCTGTTCTCTGAGAAGGCCAATGTGCTTATTTCCTGGGGCCTCTTTTCATGAAGAAATTTGAAGTCACTATGTGTTTCGGAGGAATTCAAGTGTGCGAATGGAATGCTGTGACTGCCAGGACTGGCAAAGCTCATCTCATCAAGCCCATCTGCTCTTTGCAAGCTTCCCATTTTTACTCTCTCTGGATTATTTGTCCTAGAAGGTGCAGATACAAGAGGAACTCCTGAGGACTTATTCTTCAAAGCCTCTGTAACCTCTGTAGTTCCACGTTTATACATTTTATTTGCAGCCAGAGTTTGTGTCTTGAGCTCATGAGGTAGCTTCTGATGTTCCATGTAGTATTTATAACGTAGCTCCTAGAATTAGAAAGATGAATCCCATTAAAGGGAGCATTTATTCATTCAGAAATTGTAAACGCGGTTATGTACAATGCTAAGATAAAAAAGCCAGTTTGTATACTTAGTACTATTTATGTTTTTTTCTCCATTGCTTCTAGAACTTAAGAGAAACCGTATCATTAAGAAAAAAAAATCTTAAAAGAACAATTAAACAAGACTCACGGGACCCTAAAGACAAAACTGAATTAGGAAACTAGAGAATAAAGAAGTTTGTAAGATGACTATCAAAGCCAAGAAAGTTTTAAAACACTAGTTTAGAGTTAAATTAAATGACAAATTCTCAAGCTCTGTCATGAATAATACCCATCTGAAAACAATGCACTGTCTGATTAAACAGGTATTAGTGAGACTAAGAGTCATCCCTGCACAAACACACTGAACACCCATACGGGTCTGAAATAAGTGTGCAGCTAGATCAGTGGTCTCGGCTTCATGTTGAGATTTCAGGAATTCAGGCAGACGCAGAAGAGCAAATTCTCTTATCTCAAACACTTACTTATTCCTCAAACAGAATCATATTTGGATTCGAAAGCTACAGATGTGTTTGGAAAAGTCACATTGAAATATATGCATTTTAAGTTACTAGGTATCAAATTCTAGCATTCTGAAGGAAAAAAAAAAAAAATCCTGGCAGCTTAAGTTTCTTTTTCATTCTAGAGTTGGAAAGATACCCATCTCCAAATAAAAGTGGGAGAAAAGGTTTTTTTTTTTTTAAAAAAAAAAAGACATATTTTGAAAGTTCTGTTGTAACAATTAATAACTTGCCTATACTTACAACAGAGGTTCAGTCCTACCTCATGGCTCATATTTTGAAACGCTGACATTTCCGATATTGACATGAGGCGGGTACAGATCCGAGCACCGTCTGCAAGTGCTTCCTCCTGTCCTGCTACTGGCTGAAAGATATTTGGTATCAGACACTAGAGACCATTTTGATATAAAACACAAAACAAATTAGTACACAGCACCGTAACCTCACAGGCAAGGGCTTACACGAAAGGTGCTGGGGGTACTTTTCTGGTCTTTCCATTGCTTGACGTTACTTTTAAATACAGAACCGCTGGCTGAGTTCTCATTTCCTACAGAAGGTAGATCTATAAGAAGGAAAAAATAAAGATGGGAGACCATCCAAATATGAAAAAACCCACAAACATTTCTCTAGACACAAAATTATGGAAAAAGGCAGTTTTTATAAATGAACGTGGTACTAATTGAATATGAGGCTTACATTGACAAAAAGCTCAGTAGATATTTTCAAAATATCTAAGATACCAGGCAATGAGATACAGATTGCAGGTAAGATAAAAAGGCACAAGGGGCATTGAGTATTATATACTTAATACTGGACTTACATTAATAAAAAGACTAACCTTACTCCCTCATCCCACAGAAGACAAAAAACTCTTGCTGCAGCATTCAAAATCCCACGTGTGACTGAAATTATTTTATTCCTGTATTTGTGTTCTTAAAGATTCATGTGCAGCTAAACATACTTTCTAATTAAGATCAAACTTAAAATCCCTTAAGCAACTAAGACTCTAGCACTTAACGCTTGTGATGCAAATCCAGATGCCCACTTAAGAGACCTTCTATCTCTCTCAAGAGGCCTGCCCTGGTGTGGCACCTATCCCTTTATCCTACAGGCTAAAAAACATTTATTTAATCACAGAGTAGACAACTGTGGTATTACACTACAACAAGCATTCATCTAGCTCAATACTATGTTTCGAACAACAGTCGTACAGGCTGTTTTCTTAAAGAAAATAAAGTTATAATGAAACTTCTCCCACCTTCTAAAAAGAGCACGGCTTAAGGACTTTCTGGATAGAAGACATTCAGACAATTTGTTTAGAAGCCTTGATGAACTTCTATTGATTTGTTCAAATGCTTTCTGAACTCAGGCATACTTTTGCCATCCATAGCATTTATTTGCAGTGAATTCCACAAACTGTGGGTTCCTAAAGTGCCTTCCTGAATATCTCCTATATTTAACCCGCCTTACCTACCTTTAACTACACCTACATTAACAGGTATTAACTTCAAGGCCAAGATTTCATTGACCACAGGTTGGATATCCATTTTCTTTTGGACATACTGTGGTGGTTTCTCATAGCTGGATGATATGTTCATCAGGTCAAGCTGAGTTTTCATTCTATAAAAGGATACAAACAAAATAAAAACAACAAAAACAAAACACCCAAATTTAAAAATATGCATCAGAATTAGGTTTCATGGAAAATCAAAGTTGCAAAAAAAGTCATCCAAATGACTAAACTACACCCTTATCATGAATGGGCTGTATGTGAACCAAAATAATACTCTTTCAGAGAAAATTGCTGCTGTTTGTCTGAACCACAAAATACTCTGAAGAACAATTTCAGCATCCTTTCTTAAAAGAAGTCATGTGAATCATAATAAGTTTAAATGCTATCTTTAGAAGGAAAGATATAGCCTTTGGGGCAAGTACACTGTGATCTCTGTTAGTCTACTTTAACTCCAAATATTTTATAACTGAACAAGAAGCACACCCTCCAGCAGTCCTGATTCTAGCTCACGGATGGTACCTAAGTACAGCCAATAATCCTGCATTTATGAATTCCTGTGCTAGGGTTTTTGCCAGTGAGTGATTCAAGAATTGATATCCAAGAGGCTGGTTATCCCAGATAATACATCACAAGTCAGACACGCACTGCCTAAAGTTTGCTGCATCCAGCATACAAACACGCACAAGCATTCAAAATGACTTAGTTACAAAACATTATTTTCATTAAGCGGATAATTATAGCCACATATAAAATAAATGTTAAAAATAACTGTTCAATCTTAATATTATCTTCAATAACTGTTTAATCTTAAAAAAATCACAAGAAAATGAATAAAGTTAAAAACAAACAAAAAAGACATATATACCTTGTATTCAAGCCACAGGCCACCTATAAATAAAATAAGAATTTATAAGAGGTAAGTTTGTTCTCTGAATTTACAAGAACAGACTCCTGCTTTATTAGAATACTTCTAAAGTTAAACTCCCTGCCCTGATTTCACAGAACTATATGAAATAAACCTTTAAAAAACACATATATATATAAATATGGATGTATACATACACATGTGTGCATATATATTAATACACACACTCTTAAAATAAGAGCAATAAAACCAGCCACATAAAAGATAACTTAGTTCTGGGAAAGAAACAACCTACCCCAGAATGTTGTGTTGAGGAATAAAGATTTCTTGTGAGCCAAAGAAAAGCCCTCCAAACACAAGCCATGAACTAAATGGTCACCTTGTACATTTTGGAAGTTCAAATATTAGTAAGTATTCAAATGAAGGACTATTTTACATTTCTTTTTGAGGGAAGCATCCTAATTGTTCTCAGGGTATTATTGTTATTCTGAGACCAAAAAGAAAAAGCCATCTTTTAGTTTTAGATCAGTCAAATCACAGCAGTACAAAATGTACTTCACTACAGTCCCTCAACTGACAACCTCACAAAGAACAGGTAACAGCAAAAAAGTAAATTATAGACTAGGTCCTTCCCTGTCAGATTCCCCTGACCTCACTACAGTGAATCCTAAAGAGGACCCCTCACCAAAACCAGCTGTGTAATACGGTGGACAAAGTTGTTATGCTTCAGGCATACCGATCCCTGGACACATTCAGGGCACTTCTACAGATGGGGGCCACTTCCATCTGAAACTGAAATCTGCCCTCTCAAACAAGCTTGCGTTACTCAGTCAAGTTCCAAGTACTTAAACTTCTCATTTATTTGAGGACAGTAAAACAAAACAAAAAAAAATCAGTTGCAAGAAACAGCAATGTGCTGCAGTCTCTTGGCAGAGAACACAAAAAGGAAGCAGATTTGTTTTAGCCCCATATCTGAAGGTGGAACTAAAATCCAGGCAACAGCAGCCACAGTGCTAGACATAACGTAGCTGTTTCAGAGTCATATGAAAGGTCTATCCTAGTTGCAGTAACTGCAATGACTGAGCCTTTGTCTTTCACTCCTTTAGCATTTCTCAAAACTCATTAAAACAATGGTTTTTTTTTCCAGTCTCCTTTGATACGATGAGTAAGACTTCCAGGGGATTATGCAGGAGCACATAAGCTACTTGATTTAGTATGTAAACTGGCTGTGAAGAAGCTAATATTTCTCAATTGCATACCTCAATGCATAAGTTAAAGTAGGTTTTTGAATCAGTATAATGCAACTCAAGTCAGGTACCTACTGTGGTTTTCCACTCTGCAGTGCAGAAAATTACCAATTTTGGCTCCAACCTTCTCTCTCAAAAGTTTTAGCATCTCACAAATATAACAAGATGAAAGTGCTCAAAGTACAGATTATTTGAAAATAAACATGAACAAGCACATAAATGCAAGACAACACTGACAGCAATACTAAGAAATAACTCCCTTACCTAGCATCAAGCCAGTTTACCTTCACAGTTGGCAGCATAATATAAGCAAGCATTACAGCCACAGCTATACAATCAATTCCATCATTTTTAATGCAAAGAAAGCAAAAAGCATTACTAAATCCCATTAAATATCACCCATTAGTCACAAGGAAGTTTTAAAACTTTGTAAGAATAAAAATAAAGAACACACTACAAAAAGTAGTATAAAATGTCAAATTATTTTAGTCCAAATTAAAACGAAAATATTAGCTTTCTCCCATCTAGTCATTACTGTAATCATCATCTATAATGCAGCAGGCTGTATGTGACGTTTTGAGGATTATAGAAATTATGTCAAGTAGCAATAGAAAGGCTATTACCTCCAGGAAACACTGGGGATCACATTCATGAACAAGCTTTTCACAATCTTTCAGAAAATTCTCAATGGTTTTCTTGTGAGTCTCCTTCATTTTCTTCCAAATCTGAAATTCTTTCTCTTTTTTACTTCTTTGGCTTTCAACATCTTCCAGTAATTGTTTTTTCTTTGTTTCCAGAGTCTTGAATATCTCTCCAAATTCCAGGGCAATTACCTCTGCTTCATTGTTCAGCATTACCTAGAAGCAAGAGGACGAAAACGCTCATGAATTTGCAGTAGCAAAGTCTACATCAGAACTGCATCCCTAACTAAGCTCAGAAGGTGTCTAAACATCAGAAGAGTAGCCAACATATGCACCAGGTTGTGATTAACCTGCATGATTGAAGCAGCAGGTTGTTGTTATCAAGCTACATTAGAAAACAAACAAGCAAAGAAAAACAAACACGCAGTATCCGTAACTCACGTCTGTGTCATTTGGATGACTTGAGATTTCATTTGTCAGCTTCTCATTGATTATTCTCAGTTTCTTCAGACTGCTGAAGAAGGTCAACTATAAAGACAGCAATTGAAAAGCTTGTTACAGCTTTATCCATCCCATAAAATTAATATATTACTGTGGCTATCTTGACAATATCTTGGAATGCTTTGCATACCATATAAGCAAAGGCAGTGACACAAAGCACCACTTTATAACATTTCATATCTTCTTGTGATAGCAAACAAACTTCCATTTGCTATTCTGCCAATTAATGCTTTCAGGCTCACCTACAATACAACATTTTGCCACAATTACCGTGTAACTGCCACAAAAGTCTGTTTGCCCTCCATGTTCTTTTTAATTCCCTTCTCACAGGGTCATTTATAACTCTCCTATCATTCCACTTGGACAAGTACACATGAGTATTTTCTTTCAAAGTATTATGCCTCACAGTGACAAAGTGGAAAGCTTTCCACAGCTGAACTATTTTGTTTTTAAACGCAGTCTGTTACATAGCCTGTTATCTCCTGGTTCTTCCACAGACAGGATGAGGGAGGAGAGGGAACAAGGAGAAATCAGTACAGGAGTAACTTCTGACTTTAAAAACAGCTAATGTTGTACTTCAATTCTTAATAACCAAACTGCCCACTGCAAAAGCTGAAGACTCCATGAAAACATCTACCCTATAGAACTGTTAAAAATTAATGGAAAATCTACCTCATTACCACCTTGAGGCCTCTAGTTAGCATATGATAAATCCTACATCACCCTCAAAATTGTGATTTCTAATTAGTTTACTATTTAGGTAAGAAAAAGTCTAGAAAACAAACAAACCACCCAACCTTTCTCCTTTACTAAGAACATAAATCACATTCTCCCATTCTGGCCCTGGTCAGTAAAAAATTATATCAAGGACAGAACTTTAAAGCAGAGGCTGATTTTCTTTTTTTTTTTTTTTTTTTTTTTTTAATCATCATGCTTATTTTCCTAGCTACAATAGCCACTAGACCTATGCTCTTTAGCACTCTTTTGTTACTGGGCATCAGAACTGCTCTGTGACATCCTATCCAGCACTCAGTCTAGGCAGGGTCACTTAAAGAGCTCGCTTTAACAAAACACTAGCTGTGTACATAAAAATCTCTTCTCCTGCTACTAATACACCTCAACCCCCAAATTCCTACTAGGCCTGCCAATGGCTGGAATGTATGTTATGCATTTATTAAGCCGTTATTAAGCTGAGTTATTTTGCAATAGGTCATTATCTGCCATCCGAATTACCTACACGAAGCCAGAGAACCTATAGACGAGGCCGAGGCCGCAAGGGGCGCACTTACCTTCTCCTCCTGGTACACCGTGTCGATGAGGTTGACGGAGTGGAAGATGCCCTGGTGCTCCTCGGACACGCACTGCCCGCAGCCCGCCTGGCGGCACATGCGGCAGTAGAGCTGCACCAGGCGGCTCGGGTGCTTCTGGCACGTTCCCCCGAGCGGCAGCGGCAGGAGGAGGCCGGCGG